TCTTTGAGCTAATGTGGCCATACCTAACCAGTGCAACCTGTCCGGATCTTTCTCCTGAGACACACGCTTACTCACCTGCCCTCAACAAGGGGAGAGTCCGATCCATATAAAACAGAAAAGTCCACCCCCCAGCCCCCAAAACAACTCCAACAGTCCTCGCTGACCCAGGGAACGCTACCACTGCCAACCCAGGCCCCCAGAGCAGAAATCCAGCAGCCATCCCTGGCTCTCCTGTCTCCCTCACAACCAGCACCCAACCAGTTACCAAATCCAGATGCTTCTGCCCCCCCCCCCCCCCCCACTTTTTAAACTAGTCTCTTCTACATATTTTCCTAACTGGCTTATTTACTAATTTATCTTATTGAGGGAGAGTTGATACACAACGCTGCAGTAGTTTCAGGTGGACAACAGTTATTCGACAGGTCTGTGTCATGCTGTGCTCACCACAAGCATAGCCACTGTCACCACACATTATTGTAATACCACTGAGAACATTCCCTACATGCTAGCATACAGACATACCTTCTATCCCCGTGACTCACTTCTGCCTCTTTACCATCTTTCTTCTCAAAACTACTAGTTTACTTAAACCCTTGTCTTCTCTTGCCCACTGCAGACTACTCCAACCCAAAGTCCTTTGAGAAATCACTCCAATAAATCTCTCTCCCCAAGAGAATAACATCCAAGTTTTTAAGGTGATCTTCAAACCCCGCTATGATCTGGTCCCTGCCTATGGCTCTGGCCTCTTTTTTTTTTTTTTTTTTTGGAAAGACGGAAAGAGAAAGAGAGACAGAGAGAGAGAGCATGCACACATGCATGAGAGGAGGAGAGGGACAGAGGGAGAGAGTGAAAATCTTAGGCAGGTTTCATGCCCAGCACGGGGCCTGATCTCACAACCATGAGATCATGACCTGAACCGAAATCAAGACTTAGACACTTAACCACTGAGCCACCCAGGTGCCCCTGACCTCATTTCTTTATATTTCACCACTACCTGCAAACCCTCAGCAACCCTAAAGTGATCAAAGTTCACCAACATACTAAGTCATTTCAAGCCTCTCAAAGTTGCATGTTGCCTCCTTTTCCTAGGCTGACCTTCAGTCCCTTATTCACATTCACCTTTTAAACCTCAGTTAAGAATCTCTTATTAATCACTGAAGCATTTCTTGGAGTACCCTCACCTCCAAAACTGACCTTCTGCTGTGTCCCCATGCACTTGTGCAGCCTGTTTGAGTACCTATTAACTTGTCACTATGCCTCCAGGTTCTCTTGTCCACCAGCCCCACCAGACCTCTGCTCTCACAAAGCAGGACGACAACTTATCTCTGCACTCTTAGAACCTGACTCCGGGTCCAACAAACACAAGACAATAAAAACTGTTGAATAAGAGAAGAAACGAGTGCCGAATTTCTCAAATGAGGCTCAAATACTTTGGATACAAGAGACGAGAGATGATAACCCTTTGTTTAACTCAAATCGCAGGATACAAAATGGGCAGAAAGGAAACTGAAAGTTGTAAAAAGTCTAATGGCCAAGTATTCCTGGACAGTCTAACATCCTCTCAAGGAGGCCCAGCGTCCTGGAAGAGGAGAGGGGAGAGGGAGCTCATGACCAACTCTCACCCTGCTAAAGACGGAGTTCAGGGAGCGCTTTTCAGAAAGGAGAGAAACACCCCTACTCACCCAGATGGCAGCTGTCCGGACCCTGGTGGCCATCCCCACGGTCAGTTCTGTGCGTCCCGCGGGTGGTGGCAGGACCCGAGGGCTGCCCGGAGGAAAAAGAATCGTGAAGGGTCTCCCCGCCCCTCCCACCCTCAACCAGGGGAGACCCTCCTGCACCCAAAGAGGGAGGGTCCGAGGCCCCGGCACCCGCCCTTCCCGCCGGCGAGACTGCTTGCCCCGCCGAGCCACGCGGTTCCCCGCCTCCCACGCGCCCCTTGCCAACACAGCCGCGATCGGACGGCTGTTCCGAGTCCGGGCAGGAGGGAGCCGGGTCACACTGGTCTGCACAGTCCCGCTGCCTGGAAATGTAAGGGACTGGGCGCGTCCGGCTCCTCTAACCCCTCCGCGAGCAGCCGTGGGACTCGGGGAAGACTGGCTGCCTCCGCCTCCTGGAGCTGCAGTCAGATTGGCTCTGTCCTCCCTTCTGATTCTGCGGCGGCCGCCCGAGTGCTTCGGCCACGGCCCCCGGGGAAGACGAGGCCAGCCCACGTCGGCTCCGGTCACCACCGAGAAGGGAAACTGACACAAACCCCGAAACACGGCTCTTCGAGCCGGGGCCCAGCCAACCGCTACCGTAAGGGACGCACCGGAAATGCGTCAGCGCGACCCCGGGGCAGAGCGAACTACAGTTCCCAGCAGCCTCTGCAGGAGGTCCCGCGGCGCAGGGAGGGCTCCGCGCGAGGGCCGCCGGATGGGGGCGCTGCTGCCGAGAAGCTCGGGTTCTCGGGTGGGGAGTCGGGGGCGCGCTGGCAGCCGTAAGTACCCCCCGAGATTTACAGTAACTCACGGCACCAGCACAGAGGCGGGAGTGGCGTAAGTTGAGGTAAAAATGTTCACAGTTCTCTGCGTTTCCGAAATGCTTATAAAGTCCAAGTTTCTTCTTTAATAACTCAAAAATTCATGGTAACACGTTAACGTGACATTTTCATGAATATTCCTTTAAAAAAAAGTAGTGAGCTGTGGTATTGTTCTACATTTTTCTCCTGCGAGAAATCTTTTAAATGTCCAGCTAAATAGAGAACAGCTGGATTCTCGTGTTTGCTTCCACAATCTGTTGCATGTGTTGTTTTTTTGTTTTTGTTTTTGTGAAGTATTTAAAGAAAATCCAGCCTCACACAGGTATGCAGTTGGAAAAGGACAGGGTTGGGTTTGGTTTTTTTTTTTTTTTTTAATGTTTATTTTGAAGGTTGGGGGGGGGGGGGTCGGGGAGAATCCTAAACAGGCTCCACACAGTCAGTGCAGAGCCCGATGTGGGGCTCGAACGCAGCAACCGTGGGATCATGACCTGACGCAGGGTCGAGTCCGATGTTCCGACTGAGCCACCCAGACGCCCGGAAAAGGACAGGATATTTTAATACGCTTATCAGATAACTGTGGATACCCTTGGATAGCACAAGCTGAACAAGGGAAACCTTAGTTGCGGTGTGCAGTCTGAAACCACGTTGGTGACTTCACGCTATTACATTAAAATCTATTTGTCTGTCTTGCACTTTGAATGGATAGTTTCATTCATGCTTTTTTGTAGCATCATAAATTAGTCACTTGGAAAATATCCACTGATTTATGCAGATCTTCACAATGTTGCCACGTTTCATTTTACAATTTGAAAAATCTTATTCCATAGTATTATAATTGATCTTAAGTATTGGGAAGCTGTGAAATTCACAGTGGCAGTACAAGTTTTCCAAAACTGTTCTATTCACTTGAAAACTCAAACTTTATGTTGGGAAAAAAAAAATACTGTCTTTTATTTTCCTTGAAGTGACAAGCTCACTTGGTTGATTTTTGAGAAAATGCCACATCCCTAAGTGTGCCTTGTCACTCCTTTTCGTCAAGTTAAGCTGTCAGATCAAATAATCACACAAGTGCTTTTTCTAGACAACTGTGGAACTTCAGTATGCAGCACAGAATATTTGTTGCGCAGAGACTAAGAAGATATGTGCTCAAGAGTTGCTTTAATAAAATTACTTTTTACTGCTCTACCAAGGACATCCTAAAGGGAAATAAATCCTAGATACATTAAATACTAGATGGAGACAGAAAGACTGAAAAGCTTTACACTGAAATGTAGTGACCATCCTTTGCCCACTGGTCTGTTAAACCATCTGTTATATACTAGTTTCTCATATTCTATTCATTTTCTTTTTTATATAAATTTCTTAATGTTTTTTGTTTTTGAGAGAGAGAAAGAGCGCGCGTGTGCATGGGTGCAAGCGGGGGAGGGGCAGAGAGAGAGGAGGACAGAGGACCCAAAACGAGATCAGTAAGTTACCACAGACTTGGTGGCTTAAGCTACAAATGTATCTTACAGTTCTGTAGGTCAGAAGTGTAGCACGGGTCTTACGAGGCTAAAAGTGTTGGCAGGGACCCATCCATTTCTGGAGGCTCTTGGGAAAGGATCCTTTCCTTTGTCTTTTCCAGATTTGAGAGGCCACCTGCATTTCTTGGATCATGGCCCATTCCCTCCATATTCAAAACCAGCAACAGTTGAATCCTGTTCCCTCTGGCCTCCTCCTGTCTCCCTCTTTCACTTTTTAAATTTTTTTTGAGAGAGACTGAGAATGCGAGTGGTTTAGGGGCAGAGAAAGCGGGAGACGCAGAATCGGAAGCAGGCTCCAGGCTCTGAGCTGTCAGCACAGAGCCCCATGTGGGACTCGAACTCACGAGCTGTGAGATCATGACCTGAGCCGAGTCCGTGGCTCAACCGACTGAGCCACCCAGGCGCCCCTCCCCCTTTCACTCTTAAGGATGTATGGGTTACACTGGGCACGTTTGGGGAACGCAGGATTAGCAAACTTCATTCCCTTTTGCCATAAACATAACATATTCAGAGATTCGAGGATAGGATGTGGACATCTTCCAGGGGCCGTTATTTTGCCTATCCCGTATCCATGACTGTCTCCAGCCAAAACTTCGTTCCACCGGTATTTCCCTGCAGTGGGGGCTTGCAAACTTTTTCTGTCAAAGTCCAGTGAATAAGTGTGCTAGTGCTGCCCTGATAAAGTACCACAGAGTGGTCTCAACAACAAATTTATTTTCTCACAGTTCTGGAGGCTGAAAGTCAGAGATCAAGGTGTTGACCAAGTTGGTTTCTCCTAATGCCTCTCTCCTTGGCTTGTAGCAGGTCATTTCCCCGTGTCCTCCCATGGTTGTCCCTCTGTATCTGTGTCCTCCTCTCCTCTCCTAAGGACACCAGTCACATTGGATGAGGACCCACCCTAATATCATTATTTTAAAATGTTTAAACTTGAAAGACCCCAGTCACATTCTGAGTTATTGGGGATTAGGACTTCAGCATAGGAATTTGGGGGGGGGGGGGGGACAATTCATCCCGTAACAATCAGTTAGTAAATGTTTTAGGTTTTGTGTGCCACAGTCTGTCGCAACTACTGACCCTTGCCCTTGTAGCACAAGAGCAGCCACGGCCAACACGTACGTGAATGAGCACAGCTGCGCTCTGGTAAAACTGAAATGACAGAAGTAGACAGAAGGCCAGGTTTGGTCCATGGCCATTGTTTGCTGGCTCCTGGCCAACATTATGCCGGGGCACCCCGTGTTGTTACCCCGTCATTATAGTAAGCATATACCACTTGTTCAGTAGTAGGTCGAAACCTTTTGCTGTTGTTCTTTAAAACGGTCTGGGGGCGCCTGGGTGGCGCAGTCGGTTAAGCGTCCGACTTCAGCCAGGTCACGATCTCGCGGTCCGGGAGTTCGAGCCCCGCGTCGGGCTCTGGGCTGATGGCTCAGAGCCTGGAGCCTGTTTCCGATGCTGTGTCTCCCTCTCTCTCTGCCCCTCCCCCGTTCATGCTCTGTCTCTCTCTGTCCCAAAAAAAATAAATAAACGTTGAAAAAAAAATTAAAAAAAAAAATAAAACGGTCTGTTATTTTTATTCCTTTGGTCTCGCGTGCACCTTTTAGGCTTCAGTGACCAAGTTCCAAGTAAAACCCTCTGTAATATATTGTGGTATCTATTAGGATGTTATTTCTACGTGGCAAGCACTGTTGCTTCACCGTCCAGTAACTGTCCTCTACCGTCCCTCTTTGCTACAAAAGCTCTGTACGTTTAGGTGCTGGTTGGCCATAAGTTTATGGCATTCCCCTTTCTAGATTCAGTGGATGCATGTTTATTTCTTCAAGTCATTCAACAGCTATTTATTGAATGACTACAATGAGCTAGCCACTGTATTAGGCCAGAGGCTATATCAGTAATTAAGACAGATCCTTTGGGAAGCATTCATTTTGGCAAGGGAAGACAGATGATTGACAGATAAGAAATACTACTGAAAAATGAAAAGAAGAGGGTAAAGGGGACTAGCAGTGCCAGAGGGGTGGCTGCAACTTTAAGTAAAGCAGTGTCTTAGTTTCCTAGGTCAGCTGTAACAAACTACCAGAGTGTGGGCTTCAGCAACAGAAATGTATCTCACAGTTCTGGAGGCTAGAGGTCCAAACTCAGGCTGTTGGTAGGGCTGGTTCCTTCCGAGGGGTGTGAGGGAAGCATCTGTTACAGGCCTCTGCCTATTATATACCATTGATACTGGATTAGAGCCTGCACGAATGACTTATTGAACTTGATTACCTCTGTGAAGACCCTTTCTTTAAGTAAGGTCACGTTCTGGTAATGGGGGATGACCTCAACACACGAATTCTGGGAGCACAAAATTCAGTCCATAAAAGGTAGTCAGGGTAGAGCTCATTTGTAAGGTAATACGCCCTACATCTAATCATTTCCCGCAGGTCTGTGATGGAACTTTGTCACTAAAAATAAGTGAAAGATGAATTTCTACTGTGTGCAGTGAAAAGCAGCTGGCCTTTCCAACCTGACGCCACAAATCTATGGCACCTCTATTGCCTTGCCATCTGTCTCCTAAATTGATCTCATTGTCGGAGTAACTTGCGAACCTCAACCAACAGCTGTTTACACACCATTTCTTTCAACCAATTCTAATTCCCGTTCACCAGCTGCTGAGCCACTGGGCACATGGTCAGCTTCCCAGTTATTTAAGGGCTAAGTTAACTAAACCAAACATTTTCACCATCTTGCCTTTCAGGAATGGTAATGCACAGATTAATCAGTGTGTGCTTAATTCATGGATGAATGTTAATACTTTCTCGGGGCACCTGGGTGGCTCCATCGGTTAAGCTCCCACTCTTAATTTCGGCTCAGGTCATGATCCCACGGTTCGTGGGTTTGAGCTGTGCTATCAGCTTGGGATTCTCTCTTTTGGTTTCTCTCTCTTCCTCTTTCTCTCAAAATAAACGTAAAAATTAAAAAAAAAAAAAAAGACAATACTTTCCGAATCATTATGTGCCTCTAACAATGGTGACTGATTATACTGGGACCTCTCTTAAAATTCCTGTGGTTTCCCCTTACCCTTAGGATAGTGCCAGGATCCTTAACCAGATGTGGAGTCGGCAGGTAGTAGTGGAAACACCACGTGCCGGAGCCAAAGTGATCTGCGCTTGAACCCTGGGTCTTCCTCCACTTACTCTGAAACTTGGGGCAAGTCGCTGTGAACTCAAAACAGAAGTAGGTAGCACACATGAAGAGAATTCATGTGAGGATTAAGCGAGACGGGGCATGTAACTTATATGCCACCACTTGTGGCATTTAACAGTAATTTACTTTCTTCCCTTTACATCCTAATTTCCACTCAGTCCCTGCATCATTTTAAGATATGACACAATGATAACATAGAGGGATACAGAGGACACTGAGTGAGGTCTGAGTGAATTTGTCTCTGAAGGAGATAAATAACAATGGTGCTGTGTATTTTTTATATTGAACTGGCTAATTTTGTTAAGATCCTCTACAAAGTGCCAGACATTGTCTTGTTTGAGATCTGCCACACACTTACCAGTTATTTTTCATATGAAACTTCACCATTTACTAGCTATGTAAATGGGGACAAACTACCTAAATTGCCAACCTCTAGTTCCCTTAACCATAGGGGCAATAGTATGTCACTCACAGGGTTATAGACAGAAGTAATCTATTGTATGAAAGGGCTTAGCTTGGCTACCTTGTATCAAGCTGTCTATAAATGAAGATGAGCTACAAAAATCAGCAACTACTACTACTGTTACTATGTGTCACTTGGGGCTGCAGATTTTCTCTCTTTTCCCAGAAATTCCTGGTTTGCTGAGTATTTTGAAAAAATCAATTTTATTGAGATAAAATTTGCATACAACAAACTGGACCCACTTAAAATGTATACTCTGATGAGTTTAACAGACAAGTACAGTCATAGAACCACCACCAGTCAAGCTACAGATCATCCCTAATGGTTCCCTTGGGGTCCCGTCTGCTGTCAGCCACTCTCCCATCCCCAGCCAACCACTGGTTTATCTGCTGCCAAGTTCCATGGTTAAGGTTCTGGCAGCTTATTTGTAGACAAAAACTTTGGGAGGGAAAAAATTCCTTTACTGAAGAAACTGTAATAGAAAAGTAATTTGTATTTGTTGAAGAGACTTCGGGAAAAAATAGAAAACTACAAAACAAAACAATAAAGAAAAAAAAGAAAGTTAACTGCTCCTAATCTTTTGACAAATTTCCTTAAGAGTTTTAAGCAAGATCCATTTCAGTTATTTACAATGGATTTATTTGTATACATTTCAGTTTACTCCATATTAACAACTATTCATCATGCTTTTTTCAAAACACATGACAACATCAACATTTTTCTTGTCAACAGTTTGCATTAATTTAAATGTCTGTGTAATACTCCATGACATGGATACACTATAACCATTCTGCTATTATACATTTCTATATTGCAAAGTTTGCACTATCATAAGTAATGTTTTAGTGACCATCCATAGACATTTCTCTCTTCCTACATTCCTTGGTGTGTTAATAACAGTAGTAGTAGCTAACACATTTAGTACTTGTGGGCCAGGCACTGTTTTAAATACTTTATCCACATTATCTCACTTAATCCACACAACAACCCTCTGAGGTAGATACTAGAAATAACGCCATTATACAGTTGAGGCAAATTGAGCCATAGGTTATCAGAAACTCTAAGAGGCCTGGTTGAGGGACTACCCTTCGACTCCCATTAAGAACCACTGCTTACCATGAAAACGATTTCTGATAGGAGTACATTATACATGCAAATGATATATATATGCACTGAAGAACGCAGCACTAATTGAGGAACCCAGGATCTAGTTCTTGGTCTGACTTCACTCAAAATGTGGGACCAGTGCCAACTCACTTGATCTCAACTGTACAATGAAGATTACACATTAGGTGCTTGCTTCAGCAGCACATATACTAAAATCGGAACGAAGATTACATGTTAGATGGTCTCCTGCTCCTTGTGAAGTCTCATGGCTCTTGACAGTCATTTCTAGATTTTTCCTGGGAGAGAGACATCAAGATCTTTGTCCTCCTGGTCTCAAAAATACTTATCACTCAACAATCAATCATTAAGCATCTAAAATATATTTTGTTTGCTAGAAAATGGCAAATAATGGCTAGTCCTTCACAGAGATCCATTTATAGAATGAAACAGAGAGTTAAAACAGGTTCTCTTTCTGAATCTTTTTTGGGTCATGAACTTACCACAGAATCTGAAGATCAGGCTTCTCTCCCTAGAAGAGAAAACTTCTGTACAAACGAGATGATTTTGCATACAATATTCAAAGTTGTTTACTGATCCTCAGAAGTGAGTCGTTACACCCACTACGGGGAGTGATTTCCTCAGGCTGAGAAGTGCTGATGTAGGTAAGAAGGGAACGTGGCTGGGAAGGAAGTGAGAGCTCCAGGAGCTCTTGCTCACTGGCAAGCAGGTTTAATTCAATGACGCACACCAGAGGTGGGGCGACAACAGTGACACCAGTTACCACAGCTAACAACAATAAAGCACTTAATATACGTCAGGCACTATTCTAAGCTGTTTATATGTTTACTCAGTTAATACTCACCACAGTCCTACAAGGTAAGTAATGTCCCTAATTTACAGAAGAGGCACCGATGTTAGGCAGCATGCCCAAGTTCACCCAGCAAGTTAAGGACAGACGTGGAATTTCAACTTGGGGAGTGTAGCTCAAGCTTGTGCATTTAGCCACTAAATTTCCTTTATAAAGATAAAAGACTACCTTGGAAGGAGGGTGGCTTTGAGCAGTGCTGTTGATTTCATGAGCATAGCTGCTCTAAGAATGGCCCAGGTACCTGCTCCCACTCAAAGGGGACCCTCCCTCATGTGCTCAAACACCTAATCTTCTAGGTCTCAAAGTCCAAAGAAACCCTGTGTTTAAATTCCCAGGAGCCTTCAGCACACGGTCTCAAAGAGCACAATTCCATGACCCAAACAACGTAGAATGGAAAACTTGCTAGCAGGTGGTCCTTAAGCATCCTTGATGATAGAATAGAGAAACTGGATATCCTTTTTAATGTTTAAAAATATTTTCAAATAATTATTGGAGTAACATGGAATAAACTATAAAACTCACTCAATCCCATCACCTAACAAATTCGATTCTTGCTCACATGCAAATATACTTAAAATAAGTACCATTACTAGTAAATGTGTCCTTTTTCAGCTTTACATTATAAGCATTTTCCCTGCTAACCAAAATGTGGTTTATATCAGACACATAAAAGAGTAGACACTACTAACTGTCCCAGAAGGACAATCAAGTAAAAATATGGCAGGCTATTTCACTGGAATATTATTTTCCACTTTTTTTCAATAACTATCAATTTTTTATTCTTTGCAAGAGGAACTCTCATTGACTTATCTTTCTGAAGTTATCATTCTGACTGACATCTTCTTGAAGAAGGCAATGAAGCTGGATAATCTCCCACCTACTTAATGGTTCCTTCTCAGATTCTAGCATTTTAAGGCTCGGTCAAGAATGCTCCAAGGACAACTGCTTTTATAGGAACTTGTGGAAAGAAAAGCTGATGTGTTTTTGTACTACAATGAAATCTGTAGCTTATTTCTCCTTCTAGGACCAATTCTCTAGTGCACAAAAGGGTAGTGACAAGATTGAAAGCATTTCTGCACAGATTACATCTACACTGCTTCCCTCCAGGAGGAGTTTCTAATGTAAAACCAAGTTATTGCTCTTTGTAAAGAACTTTCCACATTCGTAATATTAATAAGTATTCTCTCTAATATGATTTGTCTGATATCGAATAAGGTTAGGGCTATTAACAAGCGCTGTCCCACACTGGTTACAAGTTAAGAACTGCTCTCCAGTGTGGGCTATTTGATGTACTATCAACGGAGAGTTCTGGCTGAAGATAATCCCACACTGATTACATTTATAGGTCTCTTCCCCAACATGAACCCTCTGATGCTTAATAAGGTCGTTCTTCCGAATGAAGGCTTTCCCACACTGGCAGCATTCATATGGCTTCTCTCCGGTATGAATTCTCTGATGCACGATGAGGGCAGAACTCTGGCTGAAGGACTTCCCACAGTCGTGGCATTCATATGGTTTCTCTCCAGTGTGGGTCCTCTGATGGGAGAAAAGGTGAGAGCTTCTACTGAAGCATTTTCCACAGTCTTTACACTCAAAGGGCTTCAGTCCCGTGTGAGTCCTGTGGTGCACCACAAGGTGAGACCTCTGGCTATATGACTTCCCACACTCGTTACATTCGTAGGGCCTCACTCTGACATGAGTTCTCTGATGCAGAATGAGATGTGTGCTCTGTCTGAAAGACTTCCCACACTCAGGACATTCATAAGGTTTCTCTCCAGTATGAGTTCTCTGGTGCCTAATGAGCCTGGAGCTGTGAACAAATGACTTCCCACACTGGCTGCACGTGTACAGTTTGTCTCCTGTGTGAGTTCTCTGGTGGGTCACAAGGTGAGAGAACCAGCTGAAGGACTTTCCACACTCTTTACATTCATAGGGTTCCTCACCAGTGTGAGTCTTCTGATGTCCAATGAGGTGAGAACTCCGGCTGAAAGACTTTCCACACTCTTTACATTCATAGGGTTTTTCTCCAGTATGAATAAGCCGGTGCCTAGTAAGATTAGAACGCCAGCTAAAGAATTTTCCACACTCCTTACATTCATACGGTTTCTCCCTATGTATGCCCTTCGATACACCAAGGGATGTACCACCGGTAAGAGAGTTGACAGTATCGGGGCATTTGTAAGACTTATCTCCTGGTTGAGTTCTTGCAAACTGAATAAGATGAATGTTTTGACAGAAGGTTTGACCACATTCACTACTATTACTTGCATAGCTTTCCTGATGACCACTAAAAACTAAATTATGTTTTAAACTTTTAGTATGTGAGTCATGTTTGTGGAAATACTCCCTCAGCACTAGTTGAGCAGGAAGAAGACAATTTCCCCCATATTTACCGTTTTCACAGACTCTCTCCTGAGCAAGTGCTTTCTTTTGGGTGAATGCCACTTGCCTCAAATGTCTCTCCTGATTTTCCTGATACTTGTCCAACTGGTCTTCACACTTCCAGACTTCTTCTAATGACAAATACCAGAGATCGTTCTTTGGGATTCCTTCCATTTTAATGCCATAGGATCGTTTATCTTTAGAAATGCTCTTACTGGACACCGATGATTTAATTTCAACCGCAGTGTCCAAATCTGAAAGAAATGAGGAACCTCTGTGTAACTAAAAAACCATTGAGGTCCAAACAGTGGGATGCACGAGCTGCTTATACAGCTGCCTTCCTAGTAAGAAAGCAAAGAGGAGAGCGGCAAACAGGAAGAGAAGCAGTGAGGCCAAGGGGAAGCCACGGGACTGGGCAGGACACACGGGATCAGGATATTCAGTGCTGGGTGGCAACAAGGGAAATCCCTTATGGCACTCCCATGAGCTAAACTCTTAATGAGGTAAGAACCTAACATGTCTACTTGTCGCCAGGCCCTTCCCCTGACAGGCCTTCTTCACATTCCTAAACCACGAGTTCAGCCTTCTGCCAGGGAGTGCCTGTTCCGGACACCAGCACAGTGCAACATGATAACGTCCAGACGTCTGGCACCAAGAACCTCAGAAAGGCCAAGCAACAGGCTGGAAAAGCAACTGTACACACATTATCCAGCCACAGGCTCTGATTCTAAGCTGTAACACTACTAGTGGTGAATTCAGACAAGTTGTTAAACTTTTCAAACATCACTTTGCTTATCTGTAATCCAAGGAGCGACAGTTAACTGTGGCGTAAGATTGTCATTAAGTACTGTACGGTATGAGTTCATCACAGACTCTGACACACGTGTGGTCAAAGCAATACCATAGTAATCATTATTTACACTATTCTGGTCTTTAAAAAAAAGGGGGCGCCTGGGTGGCTCAGTCGGTTGAGCGCCCGACTTCGGCTCAGGTCACGATCTCACGGCTCGTGAGTTCGAGCCCCGAGTCGGGCTCTGTGCTGACAGCTCAGAGCCTGGAGCCTGCTTCAGACTCTGTGTCTCCCTCTCTCTCTGCCCCTCCCCGCTCATGCTCTCTCTGTCTGTCAAAAATAAAAAAACACTAAAAAAACAACAACAACAACAACATTATTCTGGTCTTACATCCTGATTCCTTTGTTTGGAGACATCAAGACTTAACAACTGATAGGACTCACACCACAGGACACTAACTCACAACCTGGCCCCTAACTCATATTCTCCTGGGTTTTTCTGCCCTTTTGTTTGTACTTGTATTACCACACATTATTTACCCTAGTTAAAAGCCTGTTTGCTTCTCAATGCCTTTTAGGTAAAATGTTGGTTCTTAACCTAGAAAAGAAACACCATTAAAGAAATGGTGGAGAGAGAGAACATTAAGCAGGCTTCACATCTGACACAGAGCCCAACACAGGGCTTGATCCCATGACCCTGGGATCATGACCTGAGCCGAAACCAAGTTGGACGCTCAACTGACTAAACCACCCAGGCGCCCCTTAAGTAATCTCTATGCCTAACACGGGTCTCAGACTCACAACCTCTAGATCAACAGTCACATGCTCTGCCGACTGAGCCAGCGAGGCTCCCCCCACCCAAAAACACTGTTTACAAAGTACCATCTCTCCCTACACAAGTGGGGTAATATTCTACCCTTATCTGGTGTATGGGTTGAACTGTGTGCCCCAAATAAGATACGTGCCCGTATCTCAGAACGCAACTTGACTTGGAAACAGGATCACTGCACTCCAGTAGTACTGGAGCAGGGTGTGCCCCTAATCCAGAGACTGGTGTCCTTACAAGGAGAGAAGAGGGGGCCTGGGTGGCTCAGTTGGGATCTGTGCTGATAGCACAGAGCCTGCTTGAGATTCTCTCGCTCTCCCTCTCTCTCAAAATAAATACACTTAAAAAAAAAAAAAAAAAAGGAGAGGAGATACAGAGACAGACATGAAGGCAGAGGCTGATTGGAATGATGTGTCTACAAGCCAAGGAACACCTGAGACCAGCAGAGCCTCACGAGGCAAGGAAGGATCCTGTCCTCCAGGCGCCAGAGGGCGTGTGGCCCTGCTGACACCTTGATTTCAGACTTCTGACCTTGAGCTCTGAGAAAGCACACTTGTGTAAACTACCAGTTTGTGGAACTTTATCTTCGCAGCGCCAGGAACTAACAGGCCTGCTGATAATCCCTGTGCCAGGCCCCTAACCGCCTTCTTTGTGGAACCCCCACCAGTCTCCGTTCTCAGTCACTACTTTGTTAGTTACTAGCTTCTCCCTCACCCTGACTTTTCTTTTCCCGTGGTAAAATACACATGACATAAAATTTACCATCTTAACCATTTTTAAGGGTACAGCTCAGGTATGACATACATTTGCATGGTTGTACAGACATCCCCTTGTGTCATCTCCTCTGTGGAATCAAAACTCAGTGCCTCTTAAACAGGAAGCCCCTTCTCCCATCCTACCAGCACCTGGCAGGCACCATCACACTTTCTGTCTTTATGATTTCGACTACTTTAAGTAACCTCATGTAAACTAATCATATCATTTATCTTTTTGTGTCTGGCTTCACTTAACATAACATCCTCAAAGCTGATCCATGATGTAGTTCGCAGAATTTCCTTCCTTTTTAAGGCTGAATAAAGAGCCCATTATGTACCTGTGTGTGTGCGTGTGTGTGCACGCGTGTGCACGCGTGCACGCGTGCAGCCATGATTTCTTAAAAAAATTTTTTTTTTTCAAACGTTTATTTATTTTTGGGACAGAGAGAGACAGAGCATGAATGGGGGAGGGGCAGAGAGAGAGGGAGACACAGAATCCGAAACAGGCTCCAGGCTCTGGGCCATCAGCCCAGAGCCTGATGCGGGGCTCGAACTCACGGACCGCGAGATCGTGACCTGGCTGAAGTCAGACGCTTAACCGACTGCGCCACCCAGGCGCCCCCATGATTTCTGATAAGAAACACACCACCCTTATTCTCCCCTCCCCTCCTTCCAGGGCATCAAAATCCCACGGAGAAGTTTTTCAAACCACAAATGCCAACTGGAAAATTCTAAAATGAACATGTGTGATGCAGACTGGGGGCTGGGTACCAATGGGAACAGCTGTGAGTGGCATGTTTGAACACATACATGTGATTCTTCCCTTCATTAAAATCCTAAAACTTGTCATATATTATGTAACACAATACTCTAGTGAGTTATATTTAAAATATGTAGCATCCATTCATCATCTCATCATTTGTTTTTTTTTTTTTCAACGTTTATTTATTTTTGGGACAGAGAGAGACAGAGCATGAACGGGGGAGGGTCAGAGAGAGAGGGAGACAGAGAATCGGAAACAGGCTCCAGGCTCCGAGCCATCAGCCCAGAGCCCGACGCGGGGCTCGAACTCACGGACCGCGAGATCGTGACCTGGCTGAAGTCGGACGCTTAACCGACTGCGCCACCCAGGCGCCCCTCATCATTTGTATTTTTAAAGCCACCACTCATTATACTTTCTTTCCACTTTGATTATGAAGCTCATATAGCCTGGTAGATTCCCTTAAATTCCATGTGTTTAAGCACATGGAGTTTCAGTATTTCTTTGGACAGCAAATTCTCAATAAAAATCTAAACTGCTGATCTAGTCAGTTAGTTTTAGATAGCAGTCAAGACACACCTGGGAAAGCTTATAAATGAATGAAGACGTGGATGAAAAAAATAAAGGAAATAATAGAGAAATGAAAAGAAAACAGAGGACAATCTTTCTTCCCACGGCCCCAAAGCAACTGCATGATCAAGTTCTAACACTGTATTAAAGGACTTGCCTTTGAGGCAGAAATTTGAGACAGTCACCTACAAGACCAAATGTAAGAAAACTAAAAAACAGTTTATGGTATTTAAAAGTACACTTAGGGGTAGCCAGGTGGCTCAGTCGGTTAAGCGTCCAACTTCAGCTCAGGTCACGATCTCACAGTCTGTGGGTTCGAGCCCCGCGTCAGGCTCTGTGCTGACAGCTCAGAGGCTGGAGCCTGCTTTGGATTCTGTGTCTCCCTCTCTCTCTGACCCTCCCCGCTCACGTGCGTGCGCGCTCTCTCTGTCTCTCAAAAATGAATAAACATTAAAAAAATCTTTAAGGGGTGCCTCGGTGGCGCAGTCGGTTAAGCGTCCGACTTCAGCCAGGTCACGATCTCGCGGTCCGTGAGTTCGAGCCCCGCGTCGGGCTCTGGGCTGATGGCTCAGAGCCTGGAGCCTGTTTCCGATTCTGTGTCTCCCTCTCTCTCTGCCCCTCCCCCGTTCATGCTCTGTCTCTCTCTGTCCCAAAAATTAATAAACGTTGAAAAAAAAATTTTTTTTTAAATCTTTAAAGTAAAAAATTAATTAAAAGAATTAAAAGTAAGAACTGAGAAAATACAAAATAAAGAGCTGGAGTACAGTAAGAAAGATGTGTTTTGGGAGCAGCAGTTCTGGAGAAAAAGGAGTTCAGCCAGCAGAACTGGCAAGCCCCTCAGCACACTCAGAAGAGTGGCCAGTGACCAAGCCCCACAGCACGAGGCCATGGGAAGGGGCCACAGGAAAGGGAAAAGACAGGTGAGGATGAAAGAGGAGACTGTGTGACAAATGAGAGCATGGCGACACTAGAACTGGCGTAAGAACCAGGAAAGCAAGACCAACAGGGCTGAAACCAAGTATGTGAACAGAAAGATAATTTTCACGAAGAGTACACGTTTGTCTCTGAATGCAAATGACGTGTGGCAAGACTACAGAAAGACTGGTCATGGGGAAACAGAAGGTAAATAAACTCAGACTTCGCCTCGGAAATGAGAACCAGTGACCACTATGCCCAGGGAGTCCAGCCCCTCACGCTCCTCCGGGCCATGACCTGCAACACCTCTTGACTGGTCCTCACCTGGGTGGGTCTCCCGGTGAGTCCCTCTCTCCACCAGCCACGGCTCTTCCCCTTTCTCCAACTGGAGGATCACATCTGGTTTGGGAAGCTGATGCCCTGTGCATGGTGAAAGATAAAGAATTGGGCAAGGGTTGGGAAGCTCTGTCCTGGACACAAAGAGCATCGCAGATTCAGCCCCAACCCCAATCCCTTCTTAGTCCCGGGGGGACTCTCAAAAGCAGACAAGGGGAGGCTATATATATATATATATATATACACATATACATATACATATACATATACATATACATATACATATACATATACATATACATCCCACACACAAACACAAAAGTAGAAGTGAGTACAAAAGCCCTCTTCTCTGCCCCAAGGAAATCACATCCCTGGCCCCAAGCTCATACTCTGATATACGTGCTTGACGATCTCCATACCTTTTGATCAATGAAGAACCAAAATCCTCACAGGGGGATAGCTCCGAGAATACAACTTAGTCTTACCCAAGGAAACCAGGTTCTTATAGTTCTCCAGCATCACATCTTTGTACATGATCTGCTGAGCAGTATCCAGCAGCTTCCACTCCTCCCTGGTGAAGTTCACAAGTACATCCTTGAAGGTCACCAGTGCCTACAACATGGAACAAATCTGTATCAAGCCAGATGTATATTTCCGCCCTTCCTTCCTAAGTACAGACAGAAAGAGAATTAGGCAGACAGCACTGGGGTAGGGAAAGAGAATGGGCCAGAATTCATTCCAGAAGTGAGTAGTATTTATTTCGGATTCTGATCAAGTCCTAACAGGAATGGCTATTAGGTACCTACTGTCTAAAATCCAGTTCCATGTTATGCTCTAGGTTTAGAAATTGTCAGAACTTGTATTTAAATCAACTCTGTTATGACACCTACAGCAAGGAGCATCAGACACCAAAAGTTAATCTACATTTATATTACGTGAAATAAAGAACCCAATTCAGGGCAGAAAAAAGAGGGACACAGCAGTCTTCAGTTCAAGTATAACTTCATGCTTCAGAGACCAAACTCACCATGTTTTCTGATCTAAAATAATTATCCAAAACATTTTTCCTAAACATTGGTAGGTAGGCATTTTTTTAAAATTTTTTATTTATTTGTATTTTATTTTTGAAGGAGAGAGAGAGAGAGACAGAGCATGAGCCGGGGAGGAGCAGACAGAGAGGGAGACACAGAATTCGAAGCAGGCTCCAGGCTCTATGCTGTTAGCACAGAGCCCAACGTGGGGCTCGAACTCACGAACTGCAAGATCATGACCTGAGCTGAAGTCGGATGCTCAACCGACTGAGCCACCCGGGCGCCTCCATGGTAGGCATTTTTTTTAAATGAAGATTTGACAAAGAAACAATAGACACAGAAGCAAGGCCTTTATTAGCTACATTAAAAAGAAATGCTGACTACACAGAGAAACAACACCTACTTGAAGGAGGAGATCTCCTCAAGAACCATGAAGGTCAGAAGACCGTGGAATAATAGCTTTTTAAAAGCTGCAAGAACTGTCAGGCCAGAATATCCAGTGAAAATATCTTTCAGGAATGACGCAAAATATACTCTCAAGTGAAGTAAAAGAATTTGTCCCCAGCAAACCTGCTGCTCTAAAAGACACGCTAAAAGTAGTTCTTTAAGCAAAAGGGAAATATTAACAGAGAGAAACTTTAAATCCCAGGAATGAAGGATGAAGAACAAAAACGGTAAACATCTGGGTAAATATTACTAGTTTTCCTAACTCCTTCAAAATATGTAGCACAGTGAAAGCAAAACCCACAGCACTCCTCGGTGGGATTTTCCACATACGCAGAGATAGTATGTGTAGGACGCTCCAGGGGAGGAAGCTGAATGAGGCACCAGGGGCCCCGTCTCCCACCCTGGATGCTCCCAGAGGTTCCATCCCCCAAGCTCCTCGTGCCCTGGCTGTGGTCACCCCTGGATAAGTACATAACTTGTGCCTGAGCTCCTTCCGACAGGAGCTCCCCAGGGAGGCATCACGTAGCCAGCTCCACATCTAGGACAACCAGGGCCAGAGAGACCCACCAGGCACGAACACTCCCAGTTCCCACATCATTTTGTGGGGAGGGAGCATGCTGTGGCCTTCATCCCCAATGTGGATGAAAGCATGTTGTCAGAATCCTCAATATCACCCAGTTGGCTCCTGCCCACATCACTGCTAAACCTCTATTTCTTTTACATGGAAGGAAATAAAACTACATCTACAAACAAGCAAACAAAATAGTGCCAGTCTCCCAGAGAAGAGTGTCCAAGATATAATTTCTCAAGTTCCCAGTCAAAGGACTCCAACACTCAAGGAGAAAGGGGTTCTCAGTTGGAAAACAAAGAAGGCAGCCCAACTTACATGGGACCGGGCCGTTAACAACTTGGTCTCCATGCCCTCCTTGTTCTTGATGATGCTTTTTTCAGTAATGAAGATCCTGAGGAGGAGAAGGTAGAAAAAAGAAAGAAACATGAGGAAGGTTTGCTATCACGGGGAGGTTTCATAAACCATCAACCTAGACTCCCTCATACTTGGCTGAGTATAATGCAAACACCCACCACACAAAGAGGAACATCAGAGATAGTCCAAAAACACATCTACAGTGCTGAAATTCCCAGGAGCAGGAAGAAAAGAGCTATGTCGATTGGAGATTTTCCCCCTTAGTCTCTAGAGTTCCACGCAAAATTTCATTTGCAATTTATATGGTTCTACTGCTACAAATTCTCTTTTTTGAGAAAAACAAACCAAAAAACAAAACCCGCCTCGATCTAATATCCTTACTTTACAGATAAGAAAACAAGTGTTTTCTCCAGCCGATCACAGGAGGGAAGTCAGAGATTGGAAGCACAAGAACACTGGGATGGGCCACTACTGGCCTGCAGGTGGAGGCTGCCACACAGCAAGGAGTGTGGGCGGCCTCGGGGAGCTACGAGCAGCACCCAGCTGACAGCCAGTCCTAGGACAGCGTACAGTCACAAGTAACCGCGTTCTGCCGACAATCAGAGCCTCCAAATGAGAACCCAGGCCAGCCAACACCTTGACAGCAGCTGTTGGGATACCGGAGCAGAAAACCCAGCCAGAGTGTGTCAGACTTCCACCTACAGAACTGTGAGCTAGTACATGGGTGCTGTTTGAAGCTACCAAGTCTGAGATAATCTGTTACACAGCACTAGAAATCTAATACACGGTCAATTATCTTTTAAAGTCACTTAAACAATAAGGAAAAAATATTATATATTTACCTACGTAGTTACCATTGCCAGTGCTTTTCATTCTTTCCAGTAGATCCAGATTTCCATTTGGTTTCATTTCCTTTCTCCCTGAAGGACATCTTTTAACATTTCCTGCAATGTGGGTCTGCTGGTAATAAATTCTTTCAGCTTTTTAAATCTGAGAATGTCTTCATTTTGCTTTTTTTTTTTTTCAAAACAGCTTTACTGAGACATAATTCACATACCATACAATTCATCCACTCAAAGTACACAATCACAATGGTTTTTGGTAATTACATTATTCATCTTTAAAATTCTAGTAAAAAAATTAACAAAATTTGCTTATTATTGCTAAGTGTACAATTCAGTGGCATTAATTACATTCACAATATTGTACAACCCTCACTAAGAATTCTAAACTTTCTAACCACCCAATGGAAACTCTGAAACATTAAGCAAACTCCCTATTCCTCAGACTCTGATAACCTACTGTCTCTCTGAATTTGCCAATTCTAGATAATCGTATAAATAGATTCATACAATATCTGTCCTTTTGTGTCTAGCTTACTTGACTCAGCATAATGTCTTCAAGGGTCATCCATGCTGTGGCATGAATCAGACCTTCACTCCTTATAATGGCCAGGTAATATTCCAGTGTATGGACAGACCATGTTGTTTACCCCATCGTCTGTTGATGGACTCTTGGGTTGTTTCCATCTAGTGGGTCTTGTGAATGGTGCTGCTGTGAACACTGGTGTACAAGTACCTGCTTGAGTCCCCGCTTTCAATCCCTTCGGGTCTGTACCTAGGAGCAGAATTGTTGGGTCATATGGTAATTGTGTGCTGAGCTCCCTGAGGACCCACAAAACTTTTCCACAGTAGTAGCGTCCTTTCAGTCACACCAGCAACATCCAAGGTTCCAGTTTCCCCACATGCTTGCCAAAACTTGTTATTCCATTTTTTAGATTATTACAGCAATCCTAGTTGGTTTGAAGTGATATTTCATTGTAGTTTTGATATGCATTATTTTCACGTACTTAGTGGCCATCGGACAAGTGTCTTTTCAAGTCCTTTGCCCATTTTTCAATTAGTTAGGTTTGTGTTTTTGTTATTGAGTTGTAGTTCTTTGTACATTCTACATATGAGCATGTATACATACACAAATATGTTTATGTATTCTGTGTATATTAAACCTTTATCAGATGTATAATTTCCAAATAGTTTCTCCCATTCTGTTGGTGGTCTTGTCTTTGTGGTTGAAATGTATTTTTGCTGAATACAGAATTCTAAGTAGAGTTATTTTTCCTTTCAGTGCTTTACATAAATAGCTCCATTCCTAATGCTCCAGGAATTACAGGAGTTTTCCAGCCCGGCCCGTAGGAACAGTATTCCCCATGCAAGTATCAGGACTATTCCCTCCAAGCCTTTAGAGGACGCCTTCCCTGTCCTTGGGGAGTTTCCTCACACATGTGCTGCTCTGTGCTCTTGAGTCCTCGTGGGAGGCCCTCTGCAGACCTGTCCTCTCGGCTGGTCTGTCCCATGAACCACAGCTGCTTTGCTCTCCCCAGATTCTCAGCTCCGTCCTTGGCTCAGCAAGTCTGCTCCTCCTTCCTCTCCTGGAAACTGGAAACCCTCTCAAAGGCAACCAACTGGGCAATCAGAAGGCTCACCTCGTTGCTTTTCCAACTCCCAGGGATGAGTGTCCCTTGTCATCTGATATCCAGATAGACCAACTGTTTCGTGTATTTTGTCTGTCTCTTTATTGTTGTTGCTGTCGTGCGGGCAAGACCGTAAATCTACCCCACCCCCACCCCCCACCCCCACCCCCGTCACTCCGGCATGGCCACAGAAGTCTATAAACATTGCGTGTTTAAGTTGTTTTAAATTTAGACTGTATTTTTAATTTCCACCTTTTGAACACTGGGCTTATTTTCCGTATGTTTGTATTTACAGTTCTTTTGAACTTTTCATTCCTATTGTTTTCCCCCTTTGTCTTCTGGAGATCTTAAGGATTTCCTCGCAGTTCTATGCAAATTTATGTGAATAAAAGCAACATGGTTTCTGCCCTGCCATACCATTAAAACGGTTCTCGGGGCGCCTGGGTGGCGCAGTCGGTTAAGCGTCCGACTTCAGCCAGGTCACGATCTCGCGGTCCGTGAGTTCGAGCCCCGCGTCGGGCTCTGGGCTGATGGCTCGGAGCCTGGAGCCTGTTTCCGATTCTGTGTCTCCCTCTCTCTCTGCCCCTCCCCCGTTCATGCTCTGTCTCTCTCTGTCCCAAAAATAAATAAACGTTGAAAAAAAAAAACCAAAACAAGCAAAAAAAAAAAACGGTTCTCACCCACAACATCTGTTACAGAGGACACTGTTGGCCTCTGGAATGTTCTTGAAGCTCTTTATTTACTTTGCCTCCTTCACCACCTCGCTTCCTTCTGTATATCTTGGTTCTTAGTCTCCTCTAATGATTTCAAAAATTATGATGAACTTTAATGTAGGTTTCCCTTTGTTGCGTCCTCAGCCTTTCTTGGTGTCCATCTTCAGTGACGCCCTAGGCACTATCAGGACACAGAATATCTACTTGTTTTATCCTGTCTCTCCCACTGCATGGCACACAACAGACCTAAGTGTTTCAGCTAGAATGAACAGATTCACTCTGTCTTCTATCCCAACCTTGTTCCTCAACCCCAAGCGCATATTTCAAACTGTGCTCCAAAACTTACTAAGTGGCTTCTTAACCTCTCATGGAGCTTACTTTTCATGTCAGATGAATAAAGGCTGAAATAACCAGGGATGTTAAACTACATAAGAAATCACTTTATGGAAGCAAGAGAATGGTTTTCACATATTTAGAGGTCCTGTGGAACAGGGATATTTGAGTTGCTCCAGAGGGCAGAATTAGGAATAATGTGCAGAGTCACAAAAAAGTCAGTTACAAGTCAATATAATAAGACGCTGTTAATCATATGACACCTGGAAATAGATCAGATTGCCTAAGGAAACAGGAAATTTCTGGCCACCAATAAATTTTCAATCAGATCTTAATTAAAAAAAAAAAAAAGCAACTACAGTACAGCCTCTACATAGATCTATCTAAGATCCATTCCAGTGACTCTCCCATTTTATGATTATATAAAATTTAAAGTTTATAGTTAATCTCATTTCATCCTAATTTCCCTTAACCTCCACTTCTGATAACTTACTCTAACCTTTGTCTAAACCAGTGGTTTTCGACCCTAACTGAATACTGGGATTGCCAAGTATATTTATAAATTATGACACCAGCATCCCATGCCGTCCTTCTCTGAGAGATTCTGACTTAATTGCCTGCAAAGGGGCCAGGGTTTTGTTTATTTTAAATAATTTCCTTGGTGATTCTAATGTGCAACCAAGGTTGAGAACCACTGATTTGAACCATTATTTAATCTACTTAATTCAAACCTATTTGAGCTAATTAATTAAATCCTACCACTTCTTAGGGATAACCAGATTCTTTAATCAGTCACCAGATACACAAAGTATCTTTCTACGCAACTGGCCAAAACTGATCCCCAAAAGGGATACTGGGATGAGTTTTATTTGTGTTCAGCGGAACTGCTGGTAAGTTGATGACTATCTTGGTGTTACAGATTTGGATCTTCTTCTGTCGTTTTAATATATCATTAGTGAACACTTACTCCGTGCCTGGCTCTGTACAAGGCCCAGGGGATAAAAACACGAATTAAGTATTTCTTCCTGACATCAAGCAGCTGAGTCTAGCAGAAGAAACTGAAACGGACACCCAGAGTTCACTATGATTACTGCTCTGATAACAGCAAGGCCAAGGGGTCACGGACCACCTGGTGGGTTCAAGGCTGAGTCAGAGAGACAGGCAGACAAAGGAGGGTGGGGAACTGTGTGAACAAAGGCAGAGTCTGAGACAATGCACACTGGGAAGGGCAGGGAGGAGCCAGAAAGGAGCCCGGAAACACATATGGCCAGACCTAGGTCACAAAAGGACAAAAATGCCATTTTCAGACTCTCTCCTATGTGTTTTAAGCCCAGAAATGATACTAGATTTGCACCTTAAAAATGCCTCGTCTGCATTTGGGATAGTTCTGTGACGGACTGGAGGAAGATGTAACAGCAGCAAAGGAAACAGGAAGGAGGCTAATATCATAGCACAGAGGATGGGAACACAGATTAGGCTGTTGAGGGTAGAAACGCAAAGCAGGCAGATTTTGGGAAGACTGGTACATCCTGGAAATCAAATGGGTACAGATGTGAAGACAGGTTAGGGGTTAGAGGCGACTCCCAGTTTCCTGGGTGACTGACAGAACAACGACGTATCAGGAGGAGGCACTACAGGACGGAGGGGACCGTGTGTATTTGTGTGTCTGTTTAAAGAAAGGCAAACTGCCGTGTGCAGCGCCTCATCTGGACGTGTCTGCAGTTCTGGAAGCTAACTACCCCACGTTCTCCTACAAATGGTCCCTGAGAGCTCCTTTGGAGGGTCTAGCAGCGAGCGCAGCTACTCATATACCCTTGACTGAAAGTCCTCCTGTATTGGGGAAGGTCGTCCTCTCTGACCAAGCGCACAGCTTCGGGAGGGACGCACATGGAGTGGGGGAGGAAGGGGACACCCGCCTAGAAAACCAGATCAGCCGAATCAACACTGGCGATCGATGGGCTGACCGATGTCACAGCCAGATCACCCTCACATCCTCATGGCATTGGTTTTAAACACAGAAAACGGACCAGAGAAACGACATTTAGGAAGATACATTTAGATGTGAGGGTTATCCAGCTGTATCATCTGCCTTCCGCATTTCTGTTCTGTCTGTATCTATCCAAACTAATCAGCTCTATTTTCAAGACTCGGGGGAGTGAGGGGTGGCCTTTTGTCACAGATTTGAGAGTGACTGCGTTCTTCTGCTATGACATAAAGATGAAGTAGGCAAATGGACAGGAGTCTGAGAGAGATCAGACATTCCTATCAACAACCCTATGACATAATTCCCATAAAGCCCAGTAAGAAACAGTAAGACTTGATAAAGCTAGCTCATGGTATGATCGGATGACACCGTGGCAATACATAAAGTCAATCAAAGATAACACGAGAAGTACGATAAAGTGTAAAACCAGGATGGACTATGGGGGAAAAATCAGCATTTAGGAAGCAAACAGGAGAGAAAGAAAGACCCACTAATGAATGAGAAGATGCAGAAGAGAGGCATATCCAAAGCAGAAGAATTTCAAGGACTTAAAACGAGTTCAGATAAGCTAAGGCCTGGATTCTAACGTGCTGCATTGGTTAGATAGGGGTTCAGCAGCGATCTGGGGGAGCGGTCTCAACATACTGCTGGAGGCAGCAGACACATTCCACAAAAGGAATGAACAGCTTGGAGGTGAAGAAAGGAGATAAAAGGCACAGCCGGAAGAGGTGCTGGGGACCGGAGAGCAAGGAAGTGACAAAGAAGCAGGCTGGAGCCAGAGCAGAGAGGAGGGCAAGGGGCAGAGCCAGAAATTCTGATGGAGGCATCAGGACCGACAGCCAGGAAGCTGGCGACACGGTCTCTCTCTGCGCCTCTCTTCTGTGGTCACGTCTCCCCGACACCCACCTTCTGCCCCCTTATTCCAACGGACCTCTGTGATTATACTGGGCCCCCCCTGAACAATCCAGGGCACTCTCCCCATCTTAAGGTCCTTAGCTGAGTCACAGCTGCAAATTCCCTTCTGCCATACAAGGCAACACATCCACCATAAGGTTCTGGTTCTTTGGGGAGTGATTTTACTGCCAACCGCCAGGGCAGAGATCAGCTGCAAGAAGCTCCGAGTATGAACCAGAGGCTATGAAAGCTACTATCCAGGCACAAGAGGCTCTGCAGCACATCTCTGATCAAGCAACTGAGTATACGGGATTCACAACCATCTACATTCCGGGCCCTGACTACGTTGCGACTTGAATTCCTGCTGCACTCATCCCATGCTCTCTAAGCGTCATCTAAATGCCCCCTTTTCTGACAAGCCTTTCTGTTGTCTGAGAAAGAATAACTTCCCTGACCAGTAATCATGGAACACTCCAGCACTTCACTCTGCCTTAAGCTACCACTACTCACTTGTCCACATCCCTTCGGAGACAAGGAACCACTTCAGAATTGGGATAATCTCATTCACAATCTCAGAAAGAGACTGGCACAGTGCCTTGAACTTCGTATTTGTTCCACTGGCGTTTGTCAAATTCTTAACAAGCACCCACAAAAATAACACATCTGGGGGCGCCTGGGTGGCGCAGTCGGTTAAGCGTCCGACTTCAGCCAGGTCACGATCTCGCGGTCCGTGAGTTCGAGCCCCGCGTCGGGCTCTGGGCTGATGGCTCGGAGCCTGGAGCCTGTTTCCGATTCTGTGTCTCCCCCTCTCTCTGCCCCTCCCCCGTTCATGCTCTGTCTCTCTCTGTCCCAAAAATAAATAAATGTTGAAAAAAAAAAAAAAAGATAACACATCTGTTTCCCAAGGTGTCTGCCCTCCAGTCTCCATTTTAAGCCCCAGTACCTGAGGGCCAGTGCCCAGAGACAGGCAAGACGTTGACAGGGACAGTATTTCAATCGGGCATATGGAGTATATGCTTCTGAACAAAAGCAAACAGAATCTCTTTAGATTCTGAGTAAGTACATCAGGACTTAGCACGTGCAAAGGGCAAGGAATGATTAGCAAAAGAACCCAGCAGCCACGGTTAGAGCTCTGGGACCAGAAAAGATGGCAAGGACCATGCGTCTGTGAAAACTCAGCAAACGTATACTTTCACTTTGTGCATTTTACCTAAATTTTACAT